AATTCCCCAGCCGACACTAATCTGATCGAGACGTTTGAGATAAAAGGGGTATCTGTGAGCCTTTAATTTTCAGACAAGTATAATGAACAATTGTATACACTAATGACAGATACCTTAGATCAAAATATTAATATGTATGTAATTTACCTGTAGCTACCAGTCTTTGTTTCAATGAAAAGATAATATATACTCAGGAAGTATTAGCAGTAGTTATGCAACAGCTGATGGAACAGAATCCTATTCCTACTTTGCTGATGAGAACAGTGATTCAGTCACTGAGCATGTACCCTCGTCTCATAGGCTTTGTTATGAATATCCTACAAAGATTGATTATTAGACAAGTTTGGAAACAGAAGAAAGTTTGGGAAGGGTTCATCAAATGTTGTCAGGTAACCCACACTTGTAATCTGTATCCAGCATACTCTCTGTCAAACCTTTCCTGCCCATTTCTAAATGCAAAAAAGTTATTTGAACACAAGTATTTTGTAGACTTTCCTGCACTCCTGATAGTTCAAAATTGGTTTGAAGTTCACATACATGTGCCAGTAGAGGTCTTTCATTGCAGAGATATAGCAGCCATTGTGAAGGCCATGCTTGAGCTTCCCAACAGCGGAACATCACTGGCTTTTGAGGCCTTATGACATTTTTCTATTTCATTAAAACTATTTTTTTCTACCACCTGCATATAATAACTGTAATCCACCATGTGTTCACAGAGAACTAAACCACAGTCTTTTCAAGTTCTTCTACAACTGCCATCTGCTCAATTGAAGAATGTATTTGAGATGAGTCCTGATTTACGAGAGCCATTACTAGAACATGTACAGTTATTTACACAGCACCAGGTAAGTAGATGTAACAAATGTATTTTATGAAATAGGAATCACATTGTAGAGTACAATTCTAGGTGCAAGTATATTTTTTAATAACACTATTCTTTTGCCACAGAGGGGACACATTCCAAAGTCTGTTATGGAGGTACTAGAGACGCTCACCCCTGAGGAAAAGAAGGCATCTGAAGCCAGGAAAATTGAGGAAATGAAAAAAGGTGAAATCATGAAGCAGCAAGAAAAAGAAGCTCAGCAATTAACCCAAGAGAAAATCTATCAACAGAAACTTGCTGAAGAGAGGTTGAAACAACAGAAACTACTCCAAGAAAGAATTGCTAAAGAGAAAGAATTGAAGTTGTTAGAAGAGCAGAAACTGAAAGAGGTCACACCCGAGGAAGAAAGTATGGAAACAGATCAGCTAGCAATTCTCGAGGAACCAATGGAATCATAGCCGAAAAGGTTAATGTCACAGCCGAGGCTGAAAGTATGGAGACATATCAGCTAATGATTCTGGAGGAACCAATGGAAATGTAGCTGAAAAGGGTGTCACAATACTGCTGCTCATGTCCTTCTGGTCATTGCATGAAGTTTGTTTACTTTGATATCATTTGTATAAACCATATACCGGGTATAAACTTCTATAGATTAGATTTTTGGTACATGTGTTCAGTTGACGTATCTGACTACTACGAAGTCAGTCACTCACTTGCCACATTCACTACAATCATGTTCTGGAATTAAAGGTCTGTGCACAATCACAATGAAACTGATGTTAAAAGTGCATTAGATGCACTTTTTTTTCTTTTAATAACTTTTGTGTTAGCTTATTGTTGTAAATTATATGCTTTATCTGTTTCAAAACGTTGTACAATGTCTGCTGCATAACATGTTAGCATCTTATTACTAACAATGCTACAGAATGACCTCAATTAGATTTGAACACTAGGTGGCCCTATACCCATTTCAGTTGTATAGACTGCTATGAACCTTCAAGTTGACAGAATATATTGATGTTAGGATATACCGAATGATTCTGTGTTTAGGATGTATCAGTAAAAACATCAACACTTGAACCTTTATTTGTTTCCAATATCCATGTTGTATTATACTTCTAATTTTACACTACATTAAGTCAGTACAAAGTAGATAACTAGTCAGGTAGTAATACTTCTGCTGTTAAAAAGAATAAAGGACATACCTCTATTCCAGGTATTTTATGATATATATTATGTTGTCAAGTTTTCGTTTCTTGAGTTGCTATGAATGCATATCTTGGTGCATATTTATGAACCCCAAATGAATGAATTCACAATCACTGAATATAAAGGAATGACAATGTATACGAGAGTTCTAGAGAATTACCGTAAAATCAGTATTAGAAGCCACATCCCTAATAGAAGTCGCACCCATTCTTTCTGAATAATCAAAAATTCATCATTTCTCATATGTGTAGATGCTCTAATAGAAGCCGCATTCCCTCTGTTGCATTGTAACATTTTAATAGAAGCTGCGGCTTCTAATACAGATTTTACAGTAGTTGCATTACATCATTCCACAAAGCTTAATTATTAACTAGTGGTTACTGCTAGTGAACTGTTTTGGAGGGTCTCCAGTCTTTTTTTAGTCCAAGTCAAATGCATATGCGATGGAAATTATACGGTCAGAGAAATTCTCAAATTTATACCTGGAGTTTGGGTATCCAATACAAGCTAGGCAAGTGCATTTTTTAGAAATGTTTGTACATCGTAACATTCATTTGTAAGTAGAATTATTTCCAGTAAGCCCAAGTTTTTGAATAAGGCACTAATAATACGATTTGCGAATACTAAATTGTTTATCTTCAGTGCATCAGAATCTTTTACAAATAGTTGTATGGCTTCCCTAGCCCTGCTACCATTGTAGATAATTACAAATAGTTGTATGGCTT